TTCTACAACCTGTAAAACTTTGGAGTCAGATTTTCTGTTAGATTTTAAAGCTAATGGCTTACCTTGCTTTTGAGGTTCATCTGCTTCTTGCTCTATCTCGTGACTTCTGAGGGAGCTGACAAGTTCCTCCAGAGAGATTTTGTTGAGATCCTTAGCTAGCTTAAGCGCTGTGACCATTGGCCTCCACTGTTTTGGCAAGCTTCTGATGATCTTCTTAACATGATCAACATTGGAATACCCTTTGTCAAGAACTTTTAGACCAACAACAAGAATTTGAAATCTTGAAAACATAGTCTCTATTGATTCACTCTCTTTCATCTTGAATGCCTCATACTTCTGAATGAGCGCAAGGGATTTGGTTTCTTTGACTTGAATGTTGCCTTCATGCGTAATTCTCAGAGAGTCAAACATATTCTTTACAGTGTCTCTGTTTGATATCTTCTCATATTCTGAATAAGAGATGGCGCTGAGAAGAATTGTTCTGGCCTTGTGATGATTTCTGAAATCACGCTTTTACTGATCAGACATTGCTTTTATGTCAATCTTCTGACCACTTCCATCCACTGGGTGCGTGTATCCATCAGTCACCATGTCCCACAGATCAGCATCATGGGCCAGAAAGAAGCTTTCAATTCTGTCTTTCCAGTAGTCAAAGTTCTCTCCATCAAAGACTGGAGGTTAGCCACTGAATCTGTCTCTTTCTTCATTGTTGTCATTGCTGATGTTTTGATGTGGTCCTGCCATTGTGTTTTTCTGACGCTAGATCTTGTACTGACACGGTTAAGTGTTATAAGCTCAGAACCAGGCGCTCTAATGCCAATTGAAGATGTGAAAAACACAAGAAGGGGGGATTGAATTGTAAAACTTGAATCAAAAGCTTAAACAACACTGTATTTTTATCCTGGTTCGTTTAATCTCAAACTACTTCAGTCCACCCGTCAAGGTGATTTCGCCTCTCTCCAACGAGGTCTTAATCCACTATATTCAATAGGATTACAACAGTCTACTTTAACAACTGTTAAAGCCTTCTTGAGTATAACCACATACCGGTTTGTCTCAAGGAAATATCTTACAAAGAATGAACAAGAATGTGTTTAATGTTTTATAACAAAACTATATATCACAACAGTGATAATACACAAATTTAAGCTTGGAATAAAAACTGAATTGCTAATGCTTTTGCGTAGGCGTGGTTTGAAGGCTTAGAAAAATGTATGAGTGCATGCGTGAAGATTATTAGCCTTTTCTTTTCTCACACTGACTTGTTTATATAGCCAAGGCAAAGATACGTTGTTGTCCATAAATCACTTTCAATGATAATAACGCTCTTTCCTTTTTGAGAAGATCTTGTCTTGAATAAAGTCGTTGGTAATTAATCTGTCTTGAATGCTTAGTAACGCTTCAGAGTGTTCTTTATGATAATCAGAGTGTTCTTTGCTTTAACTGATGCTGACGCTTCTGAGTGTTGATGACTTGGTAAGGATCTTGATCAGAGTCAGAGTATTTTATGCACAGATTCTGGTCATCAGGCTTCAGCGTATGATCTGGTAACTTCAGCGTGTAGCACATGTTATTGATCTTCTGATGCTGACATATCTTCTGATGCTGATGTTGATACTGATCTTCTGATGCTGATTCCATCAGAGTTTCTGTAAATACACAGCATAATTTTAAGTAGCATATATGTCTTATATATAAATCTTACAATTTATTTATTCTTGTATTTGTTATCATCAAAACTCTAATTGAGGGTTGTAGAATCAAACTATGTTCTAACAAACAACCTATACTCCTCAGCAAAACATAGTCCCAGAGAGGAAAAATAATTTGATAATGAACATGATGAGCTCTATGTTGGTCGTGAAGCAAATTCTTAAAATGTTTTGACTTGAAGTGTTAATATCCTCAATAGATGTTCTATGACGGTTGTGTAAAACAAAACTCAAAAAGAGGTATGTAGTGGTGTGAAGCCAAAAATTGATTACCTCACGCACATGTTCCAAACCAGAAAATTATGGGAGGATATATGTGACAGTAAGAGGGCCTCATCTAGGGTGGAAAATGAGCATGTTCACCCGTTTATACCCGTTTTCTAAAAAGCTGCAAAAAACAGAGCGGGGCGGGGCAGACATTGTTGACGGTACAAACCTAAAACTTGGCTCGTCTTGCTCTCAAAGTAAGGGTGGGTGGGTCTGCCGATATTGCACACTTTAAGCCTCAAAATACAAAATTTATCTTAATGTGCATGCCCATAAAACTCACAAAAAACAAGATGGGGAAAGGTGTACACATTAGAATGTGCAAATCTAAACCCTTGACCTGTATCTCATTAAAGTGAGGTAAAAACAGGCATGTTCAACGAACCGAGCCCTTTTTCCACCCCTAGCCCCAACAATTGTAATGAACAAAGGGGAATCTCGATAGTGTGTTACTAGTAGTTCTTGTGAGTAACCAGAAATGGGAACACGTGTGTGGGTAACATAATGAGATCAAAGATTTTGGACAAAGCATATTTGTGTTGATCATGGCCACCGATGATGGGAGCAAAGACTCTATGGAAGGGACAAGGGATAACTAGAGATCTCATAAAAGAGAAATAGACCATTTAATCTCCTTTTCCATATTATAATTTTCCAAATTAGCACTACTAAATTTGTTTATAAAAACACAAAATGATTAAAAAATCAATTTCTTTTGTTAGACGAAGGCAACTTATCTAGAGGTGGAGGGGGTGAACAGATCCCAAGTTAAAAAATTTCTTTTGAAAAATTAGTTTTAAAAGGATTATAAATTACGGCAAGCGGAAAACACCCAGATCAGCCAAACCGTTATCGAAAAGCTCAGATATGTGTTAAACTAATGTTATATGTAAGGATATTAATAAGTAATAGAGACAATATATTTCCACAAACAACATGTTAGAATATAATCACAATAGTAATGTGTTTCCAATAAAATCTAAAACAACAAACACAAAGAAGCAAATTACCAAACACTTTGTGTGCAATTGATGTTGGTCAGATTTTTCTTATTGTTTTGTTGATTTCAAAAACCAATTATAATCTTATAGATTGTAATAAACTCAACAAAACATTTTTGAATTTACAAAAGGTTTATCTAAACGTGTCAATTGAATAATCAATTAAATTCAATAATTTTCAATTGAAAGTAAATGAAATAGATAGAGAGAGAAGACACGGGGATTTGTTTAGGAAGTTCACCAATTGTCCTTGCTATGGTTACGTCTGCTCCCAATTCAGTTCGGAATTGAGATAATCAATCTTATTTTAAAATAAATTGTTTACAAGAGAAAAGTAGCAATTCAACCCTACAAACCATGTGTTTGATATTGATCTAACTCTTTCTCAACCCTTGATCTTGAGCTCGATCAAGTCACCCAACAATAATAGTTTCATCCAAACATTACCGCTACTCCTTCAACTGAACCCACCGTTATTCAAAGCTTTCACTCAGCTAAATCCAAATTGTAAAATATTATCACCCAAGATTTTCAATCGATCCTCCGATTACCGTTACTTCTTCTACTGAACCCACTGTTCTTCGAAGCTTTCACTCAGCTGAATTTGAATTGCAAAATATTGTACCAAACCCCTCAAATCAACACATTGATCTTGGTGGACAAACCCTATAGTTTTCCCCCCGATGAAACCCCCAAATATTCTCAACCCAATTTACCAGAACACACGCCTAAATTGGACATTATCAACTCTAAATCTAGATGACACCCAAACAAAGATTGATTATGTGTAATTTGTTTGTGTGTATGCATGCAAAGAGAGGTTGAAGATGAAGAGATTTTACTTTGTATGTTTATGGTTTCATTAAGTTTCAAATGATGCATGTATGATGTATAAATATGTGTGAAACTTGGAGGCAAAAAGGAAACTAGAGTTTAGAAAACTTGCAGATTTTTCAAAGTTTTTGATGCATGTGTCGACACATGTAAGTCATGAGTCGACACCTTCGATGCATGTGTCGACATGTATATGTCATGAGTTGACTCATATCAGGAAAATGGTTGTTATGTGTCGACCTGAAGATCCTTATGAGTCAACTCATCCAAACATAGGCTACATGCTTTTAAATGCATCCACATGTGATGACTCTTAGAGGAATTTCTATTCTATGTGTCTACCTGAAAAAGCTGAATGTGTCGACTCATGCAATACATAAGCTACAGCCTAAAAAAACATCCACATGTGACAACTCACAGCATGTATGTGTCGACACATAGACCTGTTTTTCACATAAAAACATGTTTTTAATGCATGAAACCTTTTCTAAACAATTCCTAAATTTCCTAATACTAAGATGCACATTAAGACTCGGAGAATGATGTCCAATAGGCATAAATGCTAAAATGTCCTAGTTTTGACATCATACAAAACATATACAATATGAAGGTGCACTCACATACTCCCTTTTTTTATGATGACAAAACTTGCGACGATGCATTTAATGTCTTCATGAAGGCTCCCCATGAATGTGTGCATCATAAATTCGTCTTGCATATGCTTCTCCCCCTTCGAAAACATCAAAAATAGACCAAGCAAGCCATTAGAAGCATCACATAGATACAACATAACACATATATCAAAATCACACAAAGGCGTTTGCAAAGAAAGAGTGTACACACACATACACCACATATGTGAAATTACAAAAGAATTGAAATACTTAAACATGGATAAAAGGAAATTTAAACAACATTATAATATTGTTACCCCAAAAGCAAATAAAAATAACATAAACCATTGTTTCACTTCAAAGAAATGATAAATTATCAAGACATAAACATAAAAACATAAAATGCATGATGACTCAAAACATGAAATTCATGATAGAATTGTTCCAAAAGGGGTTTTGATCCAACATCACGAGAACTCATAACTTCAACATCCTCCATGACCTCCAGGTCTTGGCCTTACACGACAATGACATTTGTGTCCATCATTTCCAAAGTGATGATCCAATAAATCTCACATCTCCAGGTAGAATTGTGCGCAATGGTAGTGATTCTCATCTTGAATAGAAATCATATGGTTTATCCTGGAAATTATGGCATCAGGATTAGATGTCATCTCATTCCACATAGAAAGAAGTTTTTCAGTGACATAAGAGGCAAAAGCTTCAAAGTTGGTGTCTTGTGTTGTCATGTGCTCTTGAATGAGAAGAAATCGTTCCTCTTGAGGTGCCTCAAAAGCATCTCTCCTACGAAAACCCTCCTTGTAGCGCTCATCTTTCTTAGCCTGCATGTTCTGAAGCATAGTGATAATGGAAGATTCGTTTCCATATTTAACACCAATCCCACTACCTTGACTATCTCCATGAATAACATCATGCATTACTGCATCAACTTGAGGAGCACCAATAGGTTGACCGTCAACCACGTGTGGTTCAGTTGTAGAATCAATAAACTCAGTAGGGTCATCAAAGTTATAAATTTTCTTACCATTCTTCTTACCACCGAAATAATACACCTTTCGATTTTCATCCCAAAAGTATCCCATGTTGGTTAAAGTGCGTTGGGAGAACTCTTGAGCCATACCAGGTGAGCGATACTTAAGATTTGGGATCCCGATGTTGAAGTGCTTGAAGATTTTAAAAATCATGGAAACGTAACAAAAGGAAGTTCCTTTGATGCATTATTTGGTGCCAAACACGCGGGAGACAAAGTAATTAGCCCAATTGATCCAAATTTTGTGGAGGAGGATATAAACAAGATGGATTTTATCTTGGTCAACACTTGAGTGATCACCATTCTTTGGCCGCAACACGTGAGAAATAAGCCAGTGCAAAATACGAGGAACCTTTTTCAAATGACCGATTACTATGGATTCAGACCAGCCATCGGAGTAGGGAGCCTTTAGCATTTCATTCTTGTGAATGTTCCATTTAAATTCTCGATGAAAATTTGTATCTGTCATAAACGGTTCAACATCACCATTAACAACAATAATTCCAAACAACGACTTCCAAAAAGCATCAGTAAAATATTAAACTGTATTAACTATTGTGAACTTGAAGGTAGAACCACGTCTGTCGTGGATCCCAAAGTAGAACACACGAATGAGATTCTCATTGTAATCGTTTGAAAGCTTCAAAAAGTAGTTGATTTGTTACTCCTCAACAAGACTAACAACATCCAAAATGTCCAATGTGTCAGCAACAGCAGGTTTCCAAACATGTTGCTTCATAACAAGGCGATTTTAATGTTTCTCTTCAAATTCCTTCATAAAATCAGGAGAAACCAACAAAAAAGTTGTTTCTAGAGCGGTAGAGGAAGAAACAACCTTTCCATCACTCTTGAGATCACTCTTGTTCTTGACAACCTTTGGAGCCATGAGGATTTTGTTAAACTGACTGTGCATAAAAGGTGTTTGGTAGAATGTGTGAATGAAGTAACTAGTTGTTTGAGATATATTTAGATACCCTCAAACCCAAATAGGAGATGAAGTTGAAGAAACACACAACTATGACAATGAAAACGAAAAATGAGTACAAATTAGGAGTTTGGAGGAATTGGGTGTGATTGGAAAATTGTAAGGATGAGGGTTTTGTGGAAGAATAAATTAGGGATAATTAGTGGGTGAGATGTTGGAGTGAAGAGGTATAATGATAGAGTTTTCGGGAAAGGAAGAGATTTGTTGGTAAGTGAGTGTTGGGAAGAGGTGTGTTGGATGGGTAAATCTGAGAAAATGAAGAGGTTTGGTGGAAGAGTTAATGACAAATGAGATGCATCAAGACCCAAAACAAAAATGAGATTTTTCAAAAACTTTGAACCATGAGTCGACCTAAACAGGTCATGTGTCGACCTTAATCCTTTGTTTGTGGGCTATGAGTTGACATATTCGAGGTATGTGTCAATACATACTGAACTGATTTGTAAAATTTTAAAAAATAAATAATATGTGTCGACCCATATGTTACATGAGTTCACACACACAGTTCGGAAAGTGAAAAAATTTTAAACATAAGGTTTTGGGTCGACCTTGAATGGCATGAATTGAACCATGCATGAAAAGTTTTGAAGGACACATGCAAATTAATATTTTTCATGATATGATAATGATTAACATGCATACACACATATGTAAGCATAAAAATTAATAGTATAGAATACATGTGAAGATAGTAGGATGAGGTCACTATAAAAATGTAAATTGAAATACACCATGGTTATCAATTGAAATTTCTGGAAATGAACACTCATAACATATATCATACATCAAGTATATCATATACCTTTGAAGTATAAGCAGGTAAAATAAAGGAGTTACTAACAAATGACGGATGACGCACTTGCATTTCACAAGGAACTCTCGAACGAAAGCTGAAAAAATGCAAAGAGTGCCACAAAATCTTTTGACATCAACGTTCTTACCACTTTTCTCTCTATCAAAGTACGTGATAGTGTGATTTGTAATTAATCTAATAAAATTATTTATTTGATTATCGTCTATTTTGGTTGGACTTTAATACTTGTCCTTTTCATGATTGTTATCTTGATCCTTCTTAGATTTCACAGTCTTACGTTGATCAATCCCTTATTCAGTTTTGAGTATGTATTTTGAAGATACACTTGCATCATGAAATGGAATAATTTTTTTTGACATTTCTCAGATAAGAAGCATTAAAAGGAATCTACACATCTTTTACCAATTAAAGAACACTAGCTGTTGACTTCCTAGGTTACAAAGCCCTTTTTCATTGTCACAAAGTCAATGAAATAGGGATACGTCACCCGTCATATGTCTTGAGCATCTATAAATGAGAACCCATATTCTCTTTATAGAGTCAAGAAATTTATCCTGCAAGATCAACAAGAAATGATAGGTACCCAATCTTTATTATGTCCTTGAGGGTTATTTAAACCTTAGTTGTATTTAGGAAACCATTTTAAAATACCCATAGGAACTAGAAACCTCCTAAATTTTAATTTTGAAATGGTGTGACCTTTGCTATTTGATTTCTTTTCTACAAATTTATACCTTCTATAAGAATTATAAGAAGGCATTTTATATTTGGTAGTATCAATAGAAAAATTGACCTTTGGTTCTAGAGTCTTATTTAATTTGGCCTTTAGAGTATTTACCTAATTTTACCAAATATGACAAGTCTCACAATCGAACCAAGAAGGTTCTTCATCCTCATTTTTAACTTTTTAAACATCTACCATATATTTCTTTATATATTACATTTTCTTTTTATGTCACAACAACATCATTAACCAAACATCACAATAGAGCATCATAATCAACATCACATTCATCATTAAAATAGAACATCTTAGCATGAAAACATATAATAAATCAATCTCATAAACACATAGGTATTGGAATAATGCATCAAAACACTCATATAATTCAATAATAATATAGTTCATCACGTCAGCATCTGAAAGCTTCAAACGTCAGACTCCTGAAACTCAAGTTACAATGTTTTAAAATGTTGTCAGACTGCACCGCCTAATGCTCACATGGCGTTGCTAGAGGCGTTCTCCTCGCCTCTTCACCGCTTGGTGCTGTCGGGTACTGTTCCCCTCACATTACATTTTTCCAGAGGCTCACTTTCCTTTCTTGCCTCATCACATCCTAGCACTACTAGGGCGCTCTCCTTGCCTCTTCATCGCCTGACACTGCTTGCGAAACAACACTTCTCAGCTTGCGATTTTTCACGGTTGGAGGCCTTCCAGACCTCTGAATTTGATTCTGTAAAAAGTCGCAGTTTTAGAATTCAAAACCCTATGATTATATAACATTTATAACAGCCTATAAATCTTATTTAGAGGTCCTAACATCATACATTCATCAAGGATTCATTCATTCATGTATTCAATACATGATTCTCACCAACTTCATCAATCTTCATCAAAATCATCAAACAAAACACAAAACCACCACTACCTTATCCTGATATCAATTATATTAAACACAATTAAACACCTTTCCTAGTTATTCTTAGTGTTTCGATATCTTTCAAGCTCTACGTGATGAATTCCTCTTCTCTTCTCTGTATGCCCTAGTCGCTTTTCATTTTTCTCCAAAATTCATGATCATACCGACTAACCTCTAATTCCATTATTTATTTATTCTTATTTTTCCTGTTGGACCCTTTCTATGCTTTTCCAATCATACCCTCACTAATCCTCACCATAATTACCTTCTTGCCCATATTATCTCTTTTCACCTTATTATTCTATTTTCTTTCTTTATTATATTTAATAAATAAGTATAAATAAAATAACTAAAATTATTATTATAACTCTAAATAAAATAACTAAAATTATTTAATTCTAAATCATAATAATTAACACCATAATCCACCACTATCCCACATGCCTTAATCAATAATAATTCGCATATATTCACCAATAAATCATAATTAACTAATTAAACAACTAATTATAATTTTTGGGGTGTTACACCAGTTCTCTCCAATGTTGAGCGTACTCCTTGGAAGATTCTTTCTTATTCTGAGACATATTATAAAGTTGACGATGGTCTGAAGTCATGTCAAGGTTGTATTTGTATTGCTTTATGAAAGTATCACAAAAATCTTGGAAGCACTGGATACGGTTTCTCTCGAGTCACATATACCATTTGAGTGAAGCAACACTCAGAGTGTATTGAAAGCAATGGATGAGTAGCTTCTGATTGTTCGTATAAGAAGCCATCTTCCTAAAGTACATGACCAAATGACTTCTCGGATAGGTATGCCCCTTGTATTTCTCAAACTCTGGAGTTTTGAGTTTTCTAGGCATCACAAGATCAGAAACTAAGCACATGTTATCAGCATCAACACTAAAGAACTTGTTTCCCTCCATAGCTCAAAGCCTGTTCTCTAAAGTCTGATACTGTTCTTTTACCTCTTCAAACTCAACAGCATCTCCTTGGCTTTTACTTCTGGCATCAGCAACATGGTACTCAAAGAGAAGATTCTCATAAGGAGCTTGAATAGCTTGTGTCGCGCCGCGTAAAAAAATAGAGTCGCCACCAAACTCTATTTATCCTAAAGAAAGGGAAGATATCGAGAGAAACCCAAGGAAATGGATAATATGGTCTTGCAACCAAAATAATGGGAAAGGAAGTCGGTTACACGAGGGGAAGGTATTAGCACCCCACACGTCTACGGTACTCCACAAGATCCACTTTTATTTGATCTAATCTAAGAGTGTGTAAAAATCTATGTCTAAAGCTTAACTGCTAAAAGGGAATGCATGCAAAAGAAAATACGGGAAAAAGAAGGAATATTTACAAAGCTTAGCTCACCTAGGCCCCACAACCTAGTGCCTACGTACTGCCTCGTGTAATGGGAAAGTCAGAGTGTCGTAGTTTTACTTACATGTTTCCGTTTGTTGTATGTTTTTTAATGGAACAATGCTAAGCTTCGTATTCTACCGCTGCTCGACCCTTGGAGACTCACAAGTCGGTAGTAGAAAGGAACTAACATGCTCATACCTGACGAGGTATCTTCAAAAGAAAAATTCCCGAAGGTGGATAATGTTTCGACGCAACTTTTTGGCAAGTAGACATGGGTGCAACTCGACCTTCGGGTATTTACGTGTCATACCACCTAAAGTAGAACTAACACATTCTTTTGAGAGTTTGGA